TTGCCGAGATTGCTAAAAGGATTATGTTGGCCAAACGGGAAGAAAATTGTTAACAAGATACAAGAACATAAGAGAGCCTGTATAAAGCATAATGCATCGTCGATAGTTTCAAGGCACGTAGATGAAGAAGGACATAGCTTTGACTGGAGAAAAGCAGAAGTCCTGGCACGGGGTGAAACGAGAAAAGAAAGAGAATTCTTGGAAGCCTGGTTCTCAACGAAACATTCAATCAACATGCGCGTGGACATTGACTCAATATACGAACCGCTACGACAAAAAGAAATAAAGAATCTTATGCCACGCGGTTTGAGGCAGAACAACTCGGGCGCCGACTTTAGCCTTGGATAAAGTGGGTAGAGGTCACGGGACCTAAATCGACACTGCCACGTTCAAAGTCACTTGCAAGTCGATCATGGAGGGAGAATTCATTTAGTAAGCTTGTACGCTATATATCACTGCACTGAGGATGCCACCTCGCATGGTGGTGAAACGTTTGCGTGAAAACCGCCTAGCTCGGAGAACAAATGAACAATTGAATCATTGGAATTCTTCTCGAACAGCATTTTTATTTCGGTTGATTAAGAACCACAACGAGATACTCGAGGTACGGAGAGGCTACACGTTTTGCAAATTCCGTCTTTTATAATGAAAAGTAGCTGGACCACGCGAATGCTTTCGACACCGCGTGTGATCATATTAATGCTTTGACTGAGACTACTAGCTTAAAACTTTTGTAGTAGGCGGGATGTCCAACTACACCCGAAGCCGTTATTGGGATCTCGTGACTGAAAGGTTATCTTTGGTTTGCTTTTGACACTTTTGGACAATATGGTTTCAGTAACCGAGAAATTGCTGTGATCCAATTAATGCGAAGGAGAAATAAAGAGATGTTATAGAAGAAATTGGGGTCCACAAATGGCCTGAAGAGGCGGCTTCATATCTCAATGATTTTCGCAGGGTTAAGAGCTTCCGAAAGCTAATATAGGCGCGAACTCGGCTGTTGTGAACGTGAGTGCCTACTTCAGGACATCGCCGTCCTATCGCTTTTCGGTTAAGCCTATTGTCGGTACAGCAACAGCCGATCAGAGGAGAGCGTTTCAAGAGTGACTTGCATGAACAGAAGAGATTTCCGTGACATTCCAGGCAGCCAAACCTTTGTCCTGGTTTCAAGGCGTACCTCTAAATTTTGTGTTGCTGCTTCGTTGTATCACGAGGTTATACGCATGATCTGCAAAATCTGCTATTTCAGCTCACACATCAGGTGACTAATAATATCGTGGCCGAATAACACCACCTATACACCGGATGTAGAGTCAGGTAAATAAACTGCATCAGTCAGCAACCGTTTCGCCAGAAAAACGATAGGCGGTAACGCCCCGAGGCTTGCATAAAAGCGCATGTTAACTTTACAAGCCGGCAACCATTTGATTGGCAAGTTCACTCTCTATTTCTATCCGCTGTTCACAGATGCAATATTTTTTGTTCGGTACCCCCCAACAAATATCCGATGGGCATGTTAAATTCCATCATTTTTCCATGATATACTAGTGACCATCCGCCAAAATGATGACCGCCGAACACGTATTCACGCTTCTTTAATCATTAGGTGAAAAGTCTGAGGACTAGTGGAAGATATCAGATTTCGGTATGCCCAGTTCGATTTACCAAGCCCATAAAAGTTTAGAACATATAAGATTACGAGATAATTCTCGGTCTTTCTACCATCAGGTCAAAAATGATGCACTCACGGAGAAGACGGAAGTGGTAGAGTCGGCACAGTTTTAGCCTGACAATTTAGTGACAATTTAGTATGACATTGCCTCTGTTGGCACCACATGAAAATGTACAAATCACCTTCTGGTCGTATATGTGATGATTTTTTTCTGTTGAACAGTGACGTTACCAAATGGAATTCGCCTGCAGTAATTGCGGTCCAGCCTCCCAATGTCAGGGTCGTCTAATGCCAGCTGGGTGTCCCTATTTGGCAAAACTGCATTTCAATCTGCCCCAAAATACACCTGCGTTCTCCGCTAGCTATTAACACTACGCATCACTTATTGAGTTGCACATCAGGGCTTGAAAAAATGCCGGGCGGTCGCATAATTACAAGTTGATCAGAGTGGTGTATGTGATATGGGAATTCCATTCTGGTCTGTCAAAACACCAGAACGTCATGTCTATTCCTCGTCCTGCATGAAACGGAGCACTCTACGAGTACACAGTTAATGATAAGTTCCTGTTCTAAATCTGGATTGTAGAAAACTAAGTCGGAGAGCTGTAAAGATTAATTAATCGGCGATCTTTGTGCAGCGCAAATGGTTGTGCGTTTGACGTATGCCATAGCACCGCGTTTATGCCTCCCTATGGCTCTGCAAGTATCCATTATAGGTGGACATCGAATATACCAACCAGATTCTAACGCGTTCAGAAGATCCAAAAAATTGCAGTCAGTTTGTTGCAAATCTGTCATGTCGCACCACATTTGTTTCCGTTCAGACTTGTAAGAATTATTCTAGTAGCAACATCCCAATGGGGATAACGCTTAGGAAATTAGCAAGAGTAGAGCATGCAATGTTGGCGAACTTGCGGAATACCAGAATATGATACACGGACGTATCCAACTAACTAGACCATTTCGCTCAGCTTCGTAGTGTGAGACAGATGTCACAGGTGGATCGCACCCGTGTCAACTGAATCGGTCAAACTGTACATTGGCGCGGACACTACGAGAATAATATCAATCGGAGGCCCCGATACTGATCATTGCAGTGAGAACGAAGGCACGTAGCACGCAAACACCTACTGCTGGTTCATGCCAGCCTAATGTTCTCATCCTCATGATGTCGCAGCAAGTACGCCAGTTCCCGTTTCGTGCCGCTGCCTAACCATCCGTACCTGAGGCGCATAAACAACAACAAATGATGGTTTGGGGTGCAGCTGTTGGAGTTAACGACGCGGTGTGCACATCTGTGTCGGAACGCTTTCCGGCAATAAATTTAGCATTGGTTGACTATAAAGTAATCGCTGTACAACTTGACATTGCTCGCAGCAATCCTTTCATTAGCATACATACAATCATTCACTTGGAGTTCTGATGTTTGCCCATTATTCCCATTCCATGTGGTCGGTTTAGGTGCGATTGTCCAGGCTTCCAGTCGCAACCGGGTCTTGTAAACTTGAAGTTTAGAAATAACGGCAAATTTGGTGGTGGGGTGCGCATGTAAGGATTAGAAAGCTCAGTGCCTATCTACGTTAGCCATCGCCCCGGAGAAAGAATCAGCGTAGGTTAACCTGAAAGTGAACAGTGATCAAGTTCGAGACAGCGAACGACATTCCGGATATTGGCGTACATTGGCAGACTGCCACCAACTTGCCAGGAGTACTAAAGTTATGAAATCCATATCCACAGGGAGCAGCAATGTTTCCCACGAGATATATGGTGTCGAACACACGACAGTTGTTTGCCGGCATCGATAGTGTAACATTGGGTTGGCCTGTAGACCCTGAGTATATAATCCACATGACCTACTCTACAGTGTTGTATCCAGAGGCCAGCTCTAATAGTTTGCACACCCAAACCAATTTGGCAGTGTTGCCCATAGATACATCGGACCATTGTTGAATCCTAAGTGACTGCTACTCGTAAATGGAAGCAAACATTATACCAAGTCAGGGCTTACGCCACATAGCAACTACTTCTCTTTATGAGGCAACATTATTGCCTCAGCTTCATGAACACATGGATGAAGCATTAGTAATTTGATCAGAGGAAGCCAACACACGTAGTAGCAACAACGCGAAACCAAAGTTTGAACACGTCATTATAATTTGCACGCACACTTGCAGATTAGGATCTAAACTTTCGCAATTCAACACATTTCCGGGAATGGGAGCCACTCCAGGTCGGAATTTCACCGGCATGAAAAGCTCTGCGAAATGACTTCAACGAGCTACATACAATGGAAACCAGAAAGCTAGTTGTGCAACTACACGGCCACAGGCTAAATCAAAATAGGTTTGTTAACATATGTATGTGCACATGAACTTCGTCAGTAAAGTTCTCGGTATGAACACTAGCGCGGTACTTGGCATCGCCTCCTATCTTCACGGTCGACGGAATATCCATGTTCTGTCTTATGGGTCCACGAATCTGTGGGCATGCAATCCGGATCAACGGTAGCATACACAAACTTGCTGCTTGCATATCACACATAAAATAATAGCACCAAATTACGTAAGTATCGGTTATAAATCAAAAATCGAAGGAAGCATAGTCGTTTAGTAGTTTGTACATAGGTAGCCAGAAAGAAAAATCAGAGAAGGCAGTCATGAGATATACGCCGAGCGACAAACACAGGTTTGGAATGGACACGGGTGCGCCGTCTATGGGGTATCTCCAGTGCTTGCATGTGGCCCGTATAACCTTTCCAGCGAAGTGGTTAAATTGAACTACTATTGGGCACATGCTTACATAAAGGGAGCCAAAACATAAATATTGTATGTAAGATGAGGAGGGGTATTGTTGGACAATTCTTTGTGTTCCTAAAATGATCTCACAAAGGAACTAATCGAGGTAGATTGTTCCAAACGATAGGTATCCATTTTAGAGACGTTTAAAGGTTGTATGCTTACCGCAAAACATCAGGTCACTTGCTGCGACTGAGTTAACATCCCACTGCCGTTCATACATGCAATTCCTGGCTGACAGCTCGACTTGTACCCCATCGGCGTATGAATTAATACAGTGGAGGTAAACGTATGCAATTTATATATCATTACTATTGCGATATCGAGAATCTAACTAATTTACTGGAGCGGGACGTTCCAATCGGGTATTACGGTATGTATTCCGGCAACCGATAGAAAATGTTACAACCAGGGGCTACTATGATCGTGTCGGTATGTCGGCATGGGCGGCGGTACAATGAAACAAGTGTTGATGAAAGGTAGTCTAAACTGATTATAAGGCCATAAGGAAACTCTTTCAAAGCAAGTATTTGCTAATAGATAATGTTATCATAAATATTTACCTTGAGTAATTTGACATCCTCGCGCACTCCCAACAGCTCAGCTAGTATCAACTCTAAAGAGGCATATTTGCAATGTGAGCCGGAATCTGACTGCTATAGAGGAAAGTTAAAACATAGTTTAGAAGAGGTGGCAATGAATTAGCATCTGCTTGAGGAACCACTTACAGATGACGTGAGCATTCCAGGCGATTTGAATACGTACTTGAGCATGCAGTCCACCTTCTTAACTGAGAATAGCTGAACAATATGAAACAACAAATTCCGATAGTTACATCGTTAAACAGACCGCTTACCACATCCTCATTAGGCTTTGTCTGCTTTTCAGTGAGTACTGTAGACTTGATAATAATGTGGTCTCGTAACAGAACGGCAGTAGTTAAGTTTAACGGTTTATAGGGGACTTCGAGGAGGGCGCAATGTTAGCAAATCACTAGCTGAAATTACCCATAATTACTTTCGTCTCATTTTGGTCAAGTATGCCGGAATCCGGGAGGACCCAGATATCACGAGAAGGGGTTGAATATTGAAGTACATTCGATCATTCAATGGGTTGGTCAAACGAATTGTAGACGCTACGATTTTATTAAACGGACTTTCAAAATACTAGGGTGAGCACAGAAACATTTCACTTTCGGATGTATAAGTATTTCATCAGGTATCCACGGAATGCATTTCGCCTTGTAGGCCACAATGTCAGCCGAATCGGCTTCCTTCCACTTACACGCAGATCAAGAATTATACAGCTGCCACATACAGCTCGATCCGCTTCCTGGTCTTTCGGTTGGACAATACACCGAATAATTAACTCATCATCGAATTCCTCCCATTGCTGGTAGTCGAATGGCAGTACGGTTACTGTAAAATGAACACAATCAAGTGGATTAATTCAAATTGCCTTACCATCGACCTTCAAATAATACCCAGGTTTAAGCACCTTATCCTGAATATTAAGAAAATATCGTTCAGGCCGAGTTGACAAAATCTTGAAGGATATGTTGAAATCCTGGTAATTTGTTATGGTGACATGGGACACGACGATTTCGGTAAAGGGAACTCGAAAATAATTTAACGTTAGAGTGAATGTGAATGGTTGGAATAGTGAGGTACAACTGGTCAACAATGCACTCGAAATGCATATCGTGCAATCAAGTCATTAAGAAAGTGGTCTGGCAAACTATTACAAGGTTCAAAAGTAAACTAAGGCAAAAGTAGAGCTCGAAATTTTTCTTTTGTTTGAACCTGATTTCCCGGTTAATACATCCTCATGGCGTGCACATATAGTTGTTGATATTATCATAGTTTAAAGCAGTTAGTTCCCTTCAACAATTTGAAAAGCACGGAAAGAAGTCGAAGGCTGGTAGAAGCATGCATTTCGTATTGTCTCCTCAGTAACATTAACAATAACCGGTAAGCATAGATATAGCTAACAGTGGGTGCAACCATACAAGCTTAAGGTGCAAAACGAATGACGGAAGTTCACACCTACGTCCAAGGCAGCTTTAGGCTGAAAAATAATTGCTTCTGAACACACAAAGCTGGCTTAATCCGGCTTATTGCGACAGCCTCAGCAAACCGAAGGAAGCGGGGATTAGTTTGACGTAACACAACTTTAAACGCTGAGCCCAGCTCTAATTGGTGACCCGAGTCTAATAGGTGTTTGCCTATCGAGGAAGCCGTTGGTCTGCGCGAACGTGGAATCTGACGAGGCTAGGCAATCTGAGCAGCTTCACGTTGAACCCATCTTGGCACATGTTCCTTTATTCGGGAAGTCAGAGTTCTATTGGTTCTGCCTATGTAACGTTTTCTGCAGTCACATACAAATTGGTATACACAGTGTGATTTGGCCCCAATAGCACCTTAAGCTTGTATGGTTGCACCCACTGTTAGCTACATCTATGCTTATCGGTTATTGTTAATGTTACTGAGGAGACAATACGAAATGCAAGCATCTCCCAGCCTTCGTCTTCTTTCCTTGCTTTTCAGATTATCTTAATCGACAGGTGGCAGTAATTGCTTTTCGGAGGCATGCTACGTTTCCAGTTGTAGGTATGATGAATCATTCACGCATTCCGTAATATGATCCGTTGAATTTTCTTCTTGTTTATATATTCTGAGAGCCCAATTGTCTAAATGATTTTACATACCTGACAATTGCTCCGCTTATATGTCACGCCGCAAACGCCGTCTGCTTCTGCCTGCCTGCGCTCCAGACAATCTAACTGCTCTCCGTACTTCCGTACTCGGTACGCGCCTTAAATGCCACCGCTTGCGATGAGCATCTGAGTAGCACCCCACAAGTCTCTGTCTCCCACCTAGTCGCCTTTTATCGTGGTTTGGCCATTGATTTGGACGAGTATGATAACCCAACACCTGGAACAGCCATGTACAATGAAGTGACGCCGGTTGCTGCTCGCGACTCACCACGTAGTGGGTATGAATTTGGAGAGCCCAGCCCTATTCATGACAGTTACACGAACAAATGGACGTCGCCGATACAGCTGCGCAAGACGGGACTCCCATGTTCCCGGGTTCGAAAGCACTACATTTGTTGTGCGTTAGCAAGTATTATCCACTCTGACGATGGAGGTTGCATCCCAACCCATGGGGTGCACCGTTGATACCGCCGACAACGTGACCGAACTGTTAGAGGCCCATGGTTAAGTAACTGTTAACTCGCTGTGAGAACTTCACCTGAGGTAACCTTGTTCCCTTGCGGACAATGTACTACGAATCAGTGCAATTCATTGGTTAGACAGAGTGGTGGGACAACAACGTATGTTCGCGTGAGTAAAATCGCATAATATCATACAACAAGATGCTGAACCACTAACATCAAGAGTGGAACAGGCATTCAAATAGGGTATGGAAGGTTGTTATCGGAGGTTACGGGATTCAATATCATAGACTAAACACTAGAATGCTTTTGAGCGCCAAACACAACCAATTTAGCAAGTCGATACAGAATCTTGCAACAAGGTGCAATGTAATTCCATGGAATATAAACACACGCTACAAGTGGCCGCCAATCGATAGAGCGCAATAATTATCACCAGACGCACGACAAAAGAGAATGGAAGGACTCTCACCTTTGAAGAATAGTTCCTTACCAGGTTTCACCACAAGTGCCGGAAGCTTATGCTACATTACTGCAAGACGCACGGCACAAAACTGTGGAGAATATCCGGTACACCAAGGATTTCCGATGTAACGTAGTTTCGCGGCACGCGTACGGATGTAAGCTGAAAGTAGAGCACTGATGTGATGAAGCGCAGCTCCAAAATAACTACCACGGACAGACACCACAGAAAGCACAAATCATAGAGGACAACATGCGCAGTAGCACGGACACACGATGTAAGTAGAAAGAACGACTTCGGAGAAGTTGTATGGGAAACCAAGACGGAAGTGTAACCGAAATCTTGACGCAAATGGTCAAACAACGGAAGAAGGTCAGAAAGTAATGGTGCCAACAAAGTCATTGTCACGTCTTCATTCGTCGACAGATTCACGTGGGTTTGTAAACGAAAAGCTAAGTGAGATTACACAAACGCAGTTTGAAGCGAGTCATAACGGCTTCGATTTCATCACACCGAAGGTTGTGAAATTGAGCGCTACGGAACCAATCAGTTTGGAGGCATTTTAATCAAGTGTCATGTCACATGTTCATCGACGTGTTAGTGCAGTAGTCGCATCCCCTATGCTCAACGCCCATACGTCGCGGCGGCATTAGTCCACTGGTTGGTCGCATTCGCGAACGCCTGACCTAAGCGGCAAATCAGGCAGGAATCGCTTACACTGGACCGCGCGTATGGTTTCGGTGTGCAGTTCATTCGTCGGTCACATATCCTGTCGAGACGAAAATAGTGTTCGATCGCACTTTCAAGCTGGCACCTTGCACTGCAGTTGGGATGGCAGGATTGACAATTGAACAATACGTAGTGAATAGGTAGGGAATATTACACGTAGGAGTACAGGAAAGTCACTGATTGAATTGAAACATGAGATGGATGGATGGACCACTTCCGTTTATGCGGTGTATGTGTTGTCGTCATTAAGACCAATATCATTGTCTGAGGGTGAGAAAACACCTTCGCTAATGTGCCGCAATACAAAAAGATCAGATACAAAAAAGTACAATACAAAAATCTCAAGAAGCAGATAATACGGTGTTATGTATTATGTCATGCAAGCCGTAAGAAATCTTAATTGAAAAGCGATAGTAAAGGGGATGACGTTGAACAACAAAACTCGGAACACACATGTCATAGGGGGTCAGCTCTTCGCCATGACAGCAAGTGTGTCCAAACAAACGTTTTCATCGTCGGTTAACTATCCTGTCGAGACGAAAATTGTGTTCCATCGCACTTTCAGGCTGGCGCTTTGCACTGCAGTTGGGATGGCAGGATCGACAGTTGAAAAATAGATAGTGAATAGATAGGGAATATTACACGTAGAAGTACAGGAAAGTCACTCATTGAATTGAAACATGTGATGGATGGATGGACCACTTCCGTTTAAGCGGTGTATGTGTTGGCACCACCATTACCAACATACGTTGGCTGAGAGGGAGACAACACACCTCTGCTAATGTGCCGCAAAACAAAAGGATCAGATACTAAAAATAATACGCTACAAGGAACTCAAAAAGCAAATAATACAATGTTTGCTATTATATGATGCAAGCCGTAAGAAACCTTAATTGCAAGAGAAAACTAAAGAAGATGGCAACAAACAGCCAAAAGGAACACAACCGTCATAGGGGCCGGCTCATGGCTGTGTGAGCAAATGTGCCCAAACAAACCTGTTCGTCGTCCATAGGACCCAAGCCAGATAGTCGGGATTCTCAAAACGGCGCCGACTTCGAAGTAAGGGTTTTTATTTCTTCCGAGCAATTTCTCGCTCGATCTCCCCTGCTCCAGTTCTAACCATACAGCCGAAGCGCAGGCAACGCACGTCGCGGGAGTCGGTGACCTGGCATGCGCCGTACATGGCCCAGCCATTGGAACCTGACGCATGACACAATGGTGCTGTGCGGTTCACGCGCACTTTCTGCAACAAATGTGCGCGGCCGAACACGCTCAGTTTTTACACGGTGCTCCCACGAGACATGGGCTTTGCTGCGAAGGCTAGAGTGACATGCATAGGTGGTATTGGGATGCACGTTTCATGTATAAACATACCGGAGGATGGTTGAGGTAAAAACCTAGTTATGAAAACATTGGTGATTATTTGAGCCGCTCTTGGAATAGACACATCGAGGGATATTTCCCATGGGAATATAGAGCTTAGTGTAGTTAAATCAAGGTAATTGGCGAGCCTGCTACTAAATCTTGTCACTCTGTCATATGACCTGCGTGTTATTGCTACTTTATTACACAGAGAGCTGTACCTGACCAGGAAGAAATTAACGCGGACGTTCGTTCCATCCTTCGGTATATTCAATGTAAAATATTGTTGCGAAACAGTCGAGTTGAACAATATTTTAAATCGAGTGTAGGCAGATGGGAATAGGTATTTTTGGGTAACATGTTGAAAAGCAGCAACAAGTTGTGTTTCAATCGTACAATCAATATTGGTTCGAGATGTAGTTCATTGCAACGTTCTGGATAACTCATAGCAGACTGTGTACCAATCGGATGTTTAGGCAATGACCTCTACATGTTCTCCACAGCAATTCTGTCACTCTTTCTTATATTGCCGTATACTACGCAGCGGTATTCGGGGATGGGACGAGTGAGTAGCTTGAAAAGCTGAACCCTAGCACAAGATGTGTGAATATTGAACACAGACTGTCTGGCACGTACTAGTTGGTATTCTGCTTGTTCGGAGAAATTTGTTAGACGTGTACCTAATCCCAAGATTTTGTGTGGACAACTGTTGTGTCGCCGCTGACGCCTTCACCCCACGACCGCAAGAAGTCCAAGACGAGCCAAAACGAGACTTGTATACATGAAATCACAGTCGATTATATAGTTTGAAAGCAAAATGAAGGGAAGCCACTAAAGTACACTTGAGCCAACCAACTGTAGGAAAAACGTCAAATGCAACGGCGA